TCGGTTGGCAGCTTTTGCAATGATATAAAATTGACCTTTCGCAATAATGCCACCCAACGAAACCGCGCACAAGAATGGATGGCGAAACATGATCGAAATCGAAAGCTGCTTTGAATCCGTTCGTCCGTGAGTCTGTCTCTAACTGAAAATATGATATTTATAAACATGCTTATTGAGGCGGCAAGTAAAAAGGCATGCCACACCGACGGCTTTCCGCCGGATTGCACAAATGACATTGGTTTGTCGTTTCGACAGGACAACGCAGACCGCACGCCGGTCGGCAAATGGCAAATCGGAGACAAAGAGATGGAGTTAAAAAGAAGGAAGTTTTCTTTGTTTCTATTGATTACCCAATTCCGCCCAGACACAAAAAGGGCAAATCAAAAGTTAGTGAATCATTTGATATTTTAATGATGTTTGTATCAAATTTACGTCGAATTTATCAAGTTTTTAAAATATTCAGAAGTTGGCGTATTACGAAATTATAAAAAACAACAAACATTTGGCTTGCATGTAAAATTGACATAATATAGGTTAATTCCATTTTACAAGCGCTCAATAAAAGCGCTTATTTGGCGTCATTAAAAATTTTTATTTTTTTGATTTCTTTTATGCCACGGCCTACCCCACTATTTTACGTTGTCGATTTTGATGTGCTTATGCTCCCTCAGCGAAGAGTCTATATCACAAGCCCAAGCATAGCAAACATGGCGGAGCTTTCGGCTCGAAATCGAGCGGATCGGCGGACCGAATAACTTTTTTCGGTACATTTGACGATAAAACACTGGCGCGCACTTTCGCATCGCATCACTTACACATCCACCTTGCGCGTACACAGGCGCAGTCGGGGCATATAAAAGCACATAATATCAGAAACAGTTGAACACCCCCAGGGAGTGTTTTCGGAAAAAAAGATCCCCACATAGCTCACGCTCGCCTCTGCTGCGATGCCAGGCTTATTGATATCGTATTTATAGGTATTATAGATTTTGTCGGCTGATTGAATGTTTATGTATAGTCGATCCAGTACTAAGTCTGTTAGAGAATAAAATCTGAGGTACCCATAAAGTTAAAAATATTATTAACTAACCTGCAAAAAACGGACAATTACTAATTGCCTAAGTTCAAAGTTAAAAACGACGATAACGTTTTGTCATAATCCATTACTAGGTACTTTCATATATTTCGCGCTGAAGCCAACGAGCAAAAAAGCCATCTTTCAGTAATAAGCGAGCGAAGTGGATTCGCGCTGCTCGAGCATCCGAAGAGCGACGACGTCGCAAAATATTCGTGATTCGCGTACGGTTCGTCCTAAAAGACGAAGAATGGAGCAACGTTGGTTCTATCTTCTGAAAACAGAAAGGCTGAAAAGAGCACACCAGCGTGCCGACGACCGGCGAAGATATATGACATAATTTTATATTTTACGAGAGAGAACATGCGGCACCAAGAAATAATTATATCTTTTCTTCGTGAACATTCATGTCGTCTTCGTCGTCGTCGACGACGGCGAAGGTGGAAACGGTGGTAGCGTTCGTGCTGTCCTCGTTCGCGAAGGGAAATGATAGAAAAACCACTGTACAAAGCGGGCATAAGAAACCAGCACAGCGCAAAATAAAATAAGAGCGCATGGACGAAAAAATTGTACCCCGCGCGGCGCCCAAAAAAGTGAACCAACCCCGGGAGAAATGTCCGCGTCGCAACTTACCCGCATTGTATCCGGAACAATAAAAAACCGAATATGAATAGATGCCGCGCACGAAGCACGAAACGCAGCCAACATAAAGAAGAATGGAATATATTTTGAAGAATGGCATGAAGCAATAAGGACATCTAAAATAAAATTTAATTAAACGCAAATACATGCTATTCTTCAGTGTTATAATGACTAATTATATTCAGATTACTTTATCTTTAATTTTTTGCAAAATTGTAACTTTTGCACGTTTCAAATTTGTCGAATCAGCGTTCCGTAAATATTTGCGACACATATAATTCAGTTTATGCCTTCATGCCACAACGTACGCGTCATAAAGGAAAATATCTATCTATAAATGTTGATTGGATTGTTCGCTCCAGAGGGTAGACACATGTATAGGTCAAACGCAACATAACAAAACTCATAGATTATTATAGTCAGTCGTGAAATATTTTATTTAGTCGCGCTGCAGTCGTCCGTCGTTCATCGTCCTGTTCGGGCGATAAAACCGGCACAAATATTAAGGGGGAAGCAGTGAGGATTCAAGAGCCGAGGCGATGAATGTCACAGTTTTCTTTCAATGTCCGAGATGTTTGATATCCGTTGCCGTGCTGGCGTTTCGCGTAAGTAGTGCTTGTCTTTTTGTTGCATCACAAGATAGCCGAACAAAATTGAGGGAAACGAAAAAAATAAAAGTGGCAATTGTGCTGGGCTTTCAGGGAAGGCTGGAAAATCTATTGAGGATTACTACTGAGAAAGTGATAATAAAATGCAACAACCATTTATTTTGGATTTAAAAAAAACTTTGATTTCTTCTTGTATTAAACAATTTGTGTTAGTTTTGGTCATTTCTGCACTTGAATATTTTTCAAAGTGCACTGCACATTTAACAAGGATGCACACATGATGATACCCTGATAATGGTATCCAATCTGAACAGGTCGGACGCCCTGCTGGGCACAACGGGGTGTCGCGACCCGCGCGCAAGATGCCCCAAACGCCTGCCTTGCACACTCGTCCACCACGCGCGCGCAACTAATTATAACGCTCATTACCGAAGTTTATTAATCAACGTGCGTGTGCGACCGCGCCTCCACGCGCGCATTCCACCATCCAGTAAGTTCCTCACCGAGGTTCATAATGAGTTTCGAGCATCCATCTATGAGTTGGTACTAATCGAAAACATGTCGTATTCGTATATAGTTAGATGCTTGTACGGACATTTTTTAATGTTTTAACTACTTTGTTATAATCTTTAAAAAGGTATTTATAACTACTTTAGAGTTTATTCACTTTTTCTCATGTGTCTGAGGCTTGAATGAATTCGCAACATCGAAAAGCAATTCGTAAATTATAGCCCCCGAAGGCATTCCAGCATTATTCTCATTTCGTGGTCGAAACGTTTAGATTTCGGTAACGTACCGCAGTTTAATAGTCTTCCAACCATGTGAGACCGGCTGCGATTTGGGAGAACGCGCCGAAATCGAAAATTTGCACACGAAATTACAACACGAGTCAGAGAGGTGCTCACACAACGCATGTCCGAAGCAGTCGTTAATCGCTTTGCTATGCGGCAGGAATTCTCGCCCTTTTCTGATGGATCCAAATTGTTTGTGTCTTTCGGCTATATATGCGCGATATCTTAACGATTTGGATCCGATGCTACGGCGTGATTTATTTTCCTTTTATTTTTTCATAAACACGCAAGAAAATTGCCCTAAAACGAGAAAAAATAGAAATTCAGCGCCAACACTCGGCACCCCAACGTGCAAACATTTTTTCTCACTTTGTTTTATGTTTGTCTATGCTCTGCATACAGGAGATTTCGGAAATTTGCTATTAGAGCTTTCGGTTGCTTATCGCAGCGCAAGTTTCCTGCAAGCCAGCGTGCAGTGGATGAACGCGAGGGGCTCTTTATGTTTTTTTACGATATATCATAATACGTTTCTTCCACAATGCGAATGCAATATTGTTTTTATGGGGAACTCTAAATGTTCGACGCGGGCTCCTGCACGCGTTCCTCGGCTAGTCTTGCGATTACGCATTTCTTTCACCTCTCACGCCCCCACCCGCAACGGAGGAAAGCTATTTATTTTTATGTGCGCTGAGTGTTATCACTGATAGGCTGACTATTCGACTCGTCATGATTTTTACGTGCGTGTCACGCTCAATTCTATCTAGAACTATAATTTCATGTTATGACATTGGATTTAATACTGAGAAGTATGAGTAAAGTTACAGTTAAATCATAGTATTAACAATGTATATAGATAAGCAATTTTAACTTCAAAGAAAATAAAAAAGAGACACAAAAAACAATGCATTGTTTGAGTTCTGTGTTGTTGTTTCCCACTCGCAATTTTCTCTTTTCGCGTTCTGACCGCCGTGCTGCAATCGGCCCGAAATGCATTTATGCATCATAACCGGGCATTACCTGAGCGAGTGCCCGATTGGTTGCAACACGACAATCATCGCCGACGTCGAACGGTGGGAGCCACTCCCTGGGCGCAATTTTCGCAGTCGGACATACAAAAATTACACGCGCGCGCACATACACACACAGGTGCAAATAGTCGTCGAAGCGGCCCACACCTGACCAGCCGACCACTTATGTTTTCATGAACATTACCTCTGGACGCATACATGCGAACAGAAACGCGCGTAGAGAAAGAAGTAAACAGGTTCGACATTGCTTCAACTGCACACAACTCGCGATATGAAGTCAGACGTTGGAAGTTGGAAGTTGGAAGTTAAAACACTTGCGACTGCCATTCGCGAAACGACCCCAAGAAACGTGCCTCGCGAAAGAAGCAAAAAAAGAGGACTGGACAACCGTTGGTTGCATTACGTTTGCGCCTTAGTTGCATGGCCGCCGACTCCGGTCATTACGAACATGGTGCACGACGCAATTATTCATGCACCCTTCGAACCCTCCAGAGAATGTTTTTGTAATGGCTCACCCATAGGCGCATGTAAACCATGTAGAATACATAAAAATGGTCACCTACGTTGTGGTTATATGTACTTACCTGTGTAGATGTGACTATTATGTGGAGTGTGGCATTACCATTAACGTTTTCATTATATTTATGTCATACGTACACGTCTAGGTATATATTGCGGTAAGCGACGTCCCGCAAATTACGGTTATTGATAGGTTTTTCCTCTTATTACTTTTTCATTAGTGGACATAAAGTAAAAAACGACGAAATAAAGTAAACACAACAATCATTTACATCCTGTAATATTTATATTTTCATTATATTATATATACTTACCTTTATATTAATTATAATTTCAGTTCTGGTTCAAAAAAGACTTCGACGAGAAAGAAGAGCTCGAACATTATTACAACAAAAAATGGACATAGAAAACAAACGTCGTATGCAACTAGAAGAAGCTTTGATGAATTCTGGTCACAATGATCAGCTACGTCTTATCACAGGTATTTATTATATTTGCAATGATTAAGTTATTATTTGTAAATGAGAAGAAAAATGAGCGCGCGTGACGCGTGCATGAATCTTTTATGATATTTCTATTTATAATTACGTTCATGATAAGTGTGAGAACGTGAGAGTACGCTGACTGCACTTAATTCTGACATGTTGAGCCGTTTGACAACGAAATAAATAAATGCTATGTGTGTTTAATTTTGTTCGGCGCTGGCTTTAACCATCTTTAACTACATATTGACACTTTTGATTGAGTGGAATAATTTGTTAAAATGTTATTTTACCTTCGGACACACCTTCAACACGTTTGCCTACAATTAAACATTACATATCATTTGATAGATTGATGTTATTCAATTTAGTTTAAATTTTTTGATTACTAATCAAACAAAATTCATTTCAACCCACAAGTCAAGTTGTAAAATTAATTAGAAACCTAATCCATCCTTAGTAAACATCTTTCTCTTTGCCGAATGCTAAATTAGTTTGGATTCCTTATGAATTCCCATCGGCTTGAAACACAAATACAAATGAACCCGAAAAGACGCTCAGGACCGACGGAGGGTAATCAATAATAATACATCATACACGGTAACGTCGTGTTACAACCGAAAACGTAGTTTCCAACATATCTAGTTGAAAACAATTCGAATGCTTGCTATAAACGTGTAAACTCAACGTTTTCATGCAGATGTGAATGTTTGTGTGTGTATGTGTGTGAGTGTTCGCAGGACTAATGGGTGCGTTGATGGAAAGGCGAAACGTCTTGTAATAAGTTAAAATCAATCCCGGGGTCGAGTTGATGCCCCGCGGGGGGCAGAGCAATGCCGCCTTCGCTCTCTCCTTCGGCTTGTTTGTATGTTTGTACTCGCGTCTGACTGTTTGACTGTTTTCCGCGTGTGTGCGAGAGTGTAAATGCGTGGATGGAACCTATTAGAATGGGGTGTGGGTGGTGTTCATGTCGAGCACTCCTAATATAATTGTTACGTTTGCTTTGTGCGCACACCCCTCACGCGTTCGAGTTACGTTTCCATTCGGTGCTTATGATTGACACCGTCATAAACAGACGTCGACGAAGAATCAAATTAGGGCGACTGTTGCGCCACTCTTCAAAGATTTGATGACAACATGAAACATTTCGGAATTTGTCTTGCAATTAACTCCAGAGTGCATTAAGTTAGAGTAATTGATTTTGTATTCATAATCAATTTAAAAACAGGTGTTTTTTTTTTAGTGGTTTTCAGTTGTAAATTTAAAAGTTGAGGTATTTTTCATTTGTTTGACTCGCACTTAATGGCGGTTGAGTTTTCAATTAATTATGTCAGGTAGGCATCATTTCTTTCTTGGGTTTCATTCATTTTAGAAATGGAAATGTCTATTACTATTAGTCTTGGGGTCGCTTCATATTTCGTTACCTAGTTAATTGTTTGAAGCGTTACGAAACTTCAGAACGTTTCTGGGATTGGGGGTCTAATCGGACATGGGTTAAAACACATTTACGATGATGAAATGTGATGAAATACCGGAATGAAACGAAACGAATGAAGAATCTTATCGGAGTTAGTCCATCTGACTGCACTAATCGAAAAATATAGCACCTAAGTAATTTTTTTTCTTTTCAGAAACTTTTGCGAATGAACTGGAGCAATTAAAGATATCCAACAATAACAATGTAGTGCACAGTCAACAGCGTGAACGCCCAGCATCGGCATCTGAACGCCAGCATTCTCGCGAAATCAGCGAGCATCGTCATCAGAACGAAATGCAACACCGATCGGCTGATAATTCGCCAACGAACTTCTCCACCTCTGGGCAACAGCCTCAACACCAGCGGCCGGAACAGCAGCCGAGAGAACGTGAACAAAGAGACTCGCGCGAACAGCTCAACTCCGGCAGCGGCGCCGGTGGCGGCGGCGACGCTAAGGGATGGGGTTACTCGGGAATAGATCTTATCAACTCCGGCGCCGCATTCTGGCAAAACTATTCTGGTAAGTGTGCGCACATACGAGCCCGGAGATTTATTATGCATTTTAAAGTTCCCAGTTGATCATCCAGTCACGTACGGTCCGCACCGGCTTACGGCCGTTGTACCTTTATAATCTTTGTACAAGTGTTACAACGTCTTAGGACCCAGGATCAGAATGTAGAATCGGCTTGTAAGATCCCAAAAGGAAAACTTAACTTAACACGAGCGTAGTTTGATATCCGTCCTTCGCATTTCGTCGTAATTATATTTTACTAAGTCATGTGTTTGCCGGCGTTGTTGTTTCGTGGCGCGTGCGAAGATGTCGGAATATCCAACATATGAAATGGCGTCGCGTCGTTGTATGTGGTCGAGCCGAGAGAAGGTCGTAAGTCAGCCGTGCCCAAGAAAGCGACGCGACGATATTATTTTCCCCCGTAAATATTATGTAAGCAACGGAACTCCAGGGAAATTACCGAAGAGTCGTTGTTACGGTTGTAATGTAATACATATCTAATACGCCAGACGTAGCATACAAAATGTCCACAAATTATATGTAATATGAAATTATTGGAAAAGATATCAAGCAGGCAAAATAGAATGAGTTGAAATTTATGTGATAGGATTGGTTTTTTACCACTGCAGACAAAAAATCGTTTTTGTTCACCTGTCTTCATCGGCGATGTAATTCTGATGACTTTACGAAATCGTATCCGTAGAAACCTTCGTTGACTCGATACGAATCGATCGGGCCGTCTCTTCCCTTTGAACTGCTTCCATTGGCCACATTGTTGAGCGATCGCTTCATATACCGTTGCATTGTTGAAATAAATTAAAGATTTTTTCCGTTGCCAGCGACGCATTGAACTACTGTATATGTATTCAGCGGCAAACGGCAGCAACTCGTCGATGGGCTGCCAACAATGCGATCCATTTCGAAATGATTATATTCATCATTGTGAGTATTTAAAAGCAATCAACTTGTTAAACGCTCGTTTAATTCCACAATGGGACGCGCAACCGATTCATTTCTTGCGTTTCGTTTCGATCGAGCGAAAAACGAAAACGATTCGAAGACGGCGTGTAACAAAACGCATAAGTAGCTGATCAAGGTGTTGCCGGGAGTCGCGAACGGTAGCCGTTTGCCGTCGACGCCGAACAATGACGTGTGTGGACCGCAAAGAACGCAGTAGGCGCGTCGAGCACAAAACATTTCGTCATGAAAGGATTCAATTTACAAGCGGGCACGAAGTGATCATCAGCCAACGGGACGAATGTTGATCTTGTACAATTGGAAACGCAAGTTCCTTGAAAACAGCGTCAGCGCGCGCGTCGATGCAATTATTGTTGTTATTGTAATATGGCGGACCATCTACACCTTCTTTCTACTACTTGACTAACATATAAATAAATCACTTGCAGTTGGAATGTACATTCATTTGCAAGAATCATAAAAGATTGGCTTTAATTAGAAATTAATCAAAACTTTAGATAGTAATAGATTTTGAACACAATTTGTACGAAAACTGACCACAAATTTCAATTTAAGAAGACCTTCCCCGCCGGACCTAGTGGATATTCGGTCGGAATCAGTAATAATATTCCGTGGCCTTCTGAATACGATTAAGAAACTTCGACAATAGATTTTGGCCGGGAAGCCTACACAATTACCAAATTACATATCCCCGAAACGCCCTCGAGGTTGCTCGTTTCCTTTACGATCCCAGTTTGCACCATGTAGCTTCTTCGGGCACTTTGTGCGCGAACCACCGTCGTTTCCAATCCATTCATCTATCTATCCATATCCATCCAATCTGGGTATACGTATATCGTCTTATTAGATTATTAGCAAAACGGAGTTAATATTCTGAAGACAATCAGGCTCGGACTCTGAACGACGACGTTCGCTTACATGCGGCACGTAATAAGCCGATGATGGGTGCGAGATCAATTAGTCGCAGTGAGTCTTTAGACCTAGTATGTATGTATATATTTCTCGCCGACGAGGATGACCCTATTGCCGTAGCAAGAAGTCTTACCAGTCGAGCAGGAATGCGCTTCTTCGTCTCGCTGATGAATATAAACTTCGTTAAACTATGATCAATTCCGGAACCGATCAATCCTAATATAGTTAGGTGTAAGCGTCAGCAGCGTGGGCCAAAGGGGTTGGCGGGTTTAAGAAGGGGGTGAACAAACGAGTCGGCTAGCGGGCGTCCATTAGAGGGTCTTCCTTCCTTCCGGACATGCGGAGGTCCGCTGCGTCTTACCTCACAGTTCCGGAACTATGGGCAACTGAAAGGGGTCTTTAGTTTCCATCTTCCAACAGGCGCATATCTCGAACATTGTATAGTTATGCATTATTTGTGTCCTCGCATATGTAGCGTTGCGTTCAACAGGGATTGCGCACGGGAGCTGGGAATAATTCAACACCAACTTGCCACTTTAAGCCGTAATGAATAGGTAATTAGTTGATATTGTGTGCATTGGCGGAGCACACATGTAGCTTTGTAGCCAGTTGCTTCCTTGGACACACGCGCATCGCCCACGGCAGATCTTCAACTAATTAATCAATGATCTAAATTGGCTCACCCAAAGAATCTGGGGAATCTTCGTTGGCTCATTAAAATCAATTTAATGTGTCTGCCTGTTTAATACAGACCACCCTCATCCACAATATGAGGGTTGCGTTGTTGCGTAACTGTAAGTTGGGGCCACCTTCAAGGCGGTGTAAGTTTTGGGGTGGTTTGCTAGGATTTCGCAGAATTAACTCTAATTACAAGAGATCGGGTCCTAACTTGTACGAAACTATAGACAAACTATGTAGTTAAACTTATACCTGAAGATGGACCTATTTATCTAACTTTGCGGACGGGCCGCGAGCGTGTGTAACCAGAACCTGCGCGGCGCGGAATGGCGCGCATCCAATCTACTCATACCACGCGTGCCCAATGTTACCCAAACGCCATTACGCCACGAATGTGTTTACACGTGGATAGATGGATGGATATGTTTGGTTCGCAACGTACCTAAGTTATTTGCGGATGACGCTTACGTGAGTCCGGAATAGATGAAGATGCCCAGCGCACAAAGTACTTTGTTTAACATATATTATATCGATGTATGCCTGGCGCGCGCATACTGAGTGCGTGTAATACAACTTCGGAGTTTCTAAATGAGTTATAGTTGAACCAATCGGCCGGGACGGCCACGAAGCAACAACAAGAAGTTCGTGGACCGGCAAGACGTAAACAATAGCCTAATGGTTTTGATTGTTTCAAACTAAACATTAAGTTTACACTCTTGTAAATTAAAATTCATATTATTGCAATTTTACAGTTAAGGGTTAAATATTACGGGAACTGGGAGATTAAATTTTACTATTGGCGAGTGTTCATTCATTCATTCATTTGGTGAGGTTCGTAATCGGCAGACAGACGAACGAACCGCTTAGCACGGAGAGTTAATCTACTCCCGCAGAAATGCCATTATCTGAAATGCGAATGCGGCACAAGGGCGGTTGGGGGGTGGTAGGGACGCCGACGAGAAAGGACCCGGCAGTTCGGCAGCCCGCCGGCTATTTAACACGATGTTATCTTTGCTGTTTGCAATTTCTCGGCTCGTTATGCCCGTGTCACTTAAACGCTCTCGCACCGCAGCGCGCCATATGAATCGCGCATTTCGCATTTCGTACTAGATTCGGTTTATACCTACGCAAATACACATTAGACACCCAGGATATTAGACCGAAACTGAAGCAAAGCCGCAGATGGGTGAGAGTGAAAAGGGAAACGACCTACGACCAGATTATGAACGTAGCGTTGTGTTGTCCTTCGGCTGCGGGCCTCGCCAGATTCCATTTCCATTTGGATTTGAATAACCAAATAAACCGTTTTCGTGTGTTTCGCCAACGAGCATTTTCGTTTAAGGAAACAGATTAGAATTAGGTATTATGCGGTGTGTAATCCTTGTCCAACGCGCATCATACGAGAACAGAGTGCATATAAAAAGAATTCAATTATGTTGTGTTTTGTCAAGCACACGAAATGAATAGCCTGATGCGTACGTTAAACAAACGCTGAGTAATGTTAATTTATTCTAATAATTCATGGTACTTAGTAAAGACAATAGTCAATTGTAATATAAGTTTTAAGTCATGCAAAAAAATGCAGTGTGTATAATAAAATATTTGAAAAAGCAATATTCAAAGATGATACAGAAAATGGTTGATAAAAGAAATTAAGTAAGCACGAGACAAAAGCAAAATCATTGTTTTTCGGATTATCTAAGAATTAGACGAAGCGTGAAATTGAATCTTGAATTTAAAGATCAACGAGACATAACGAAAACCTCAATGACGGCGACACGTGCGCAATATTATAGTTTATTACTTTATCAAGACATTTCTTTTAGAATAAAACATAATTTTTAACACACTAGTTTATAGACGAAGATTTAAATATAAAACGTTGCAATAAGCGGTGAGTACGCGAATGTATTTATTGTACATATTTACCTGCTGTCTGTATGTGTGTGTTTTAGCAAGCAAAACATTACAAAAATAGAGGCAAAGTAAAACGTAAACATATATTGAATTTGTTCATATTTTGTTCACTGTATTGCCATCTATGGGATATTTTGGTACTAATTGTATTTATAACTATTTTATTTGATATTATTAAAACGAAAATTTTGTTTCTTTATCAATTGATTTCTTTTACAACAATACATAACCCTAAACTATATTTTCTTGTTTGTTGGTAGTACAATTTTACTTCTATTTAGTTTTCTAAATTTAAAATCTCACCCTAACTCTCAACGCGAAGTGTAGTCATGGAAAACTCAATCTGTGATTTCACACAACGACAATAATAATATTTAAATCGCGTATTGCCGGCGGGCTCCTTTGCCATAAACGGAGGGTGACAACCGACTGTGTCGGAAAATGATTACGAAAATGCATTTGAACGTGATGGCTTTTAAATACAACGAAAAGACAAAACTATGAATAATTTTATTTATACGTTATAATAAAGTTTATGTTTTTGATTGTTTCAGAATCGTTGGCTCAAGAATTAGAACTCGAAAGAAAATCACGTCAACAGCAGGTCGACAGAGATGTAAAATCGCCACTTCAGGAACGTTCCGGCTATTATAAAAATTCGGTCCTCTTCACGAGCACATAAAGCCGAATACGCTTCGTTGAAACTCATGGGAAAGATTTGCGTTCACGAGCGTGCATGTAAAATAAAGCGCTCTTTAAGCTCGATGCGAGCACGTTAGGTATGTAAATATTTACCAAAAATTTTCTTGCATTTGTAAATTGCGAAAGCACACACATACAACATGTTTGAACATGAAGATCATGCAAATTGAGTAAAAGAAATTGTGGTTGTAGTAAAACATTAATATAAAATATAACACTTTGATTAATCAATATAAAATATAAATTATTTAAGATTAATAGATAAGATAGCACTAAACGTTCGTGTACATAATATCAATATTCAATTAATGTAAGGAATCATTAATTTTTTACTTTTGCTTGCTTTTTGATGCGTTTATTGATAAGACTGATTACGTTATTAGATTTTAATGTTTAAAGCCAGTTTTGACTTAAATTTTGACAATTCGTTAAACTTCTAACTATCTATCTGCATAAATTATTATTATTAATGATCTTCAGAATGTTTTTCTATTTTTTTCTTCTTGCTTGACTAATTACTTAGTTTTCATTAACATATTTACATTTCTATGTTCTAACAACAAGAATTGTGTGAAATTATTACAAGAAAGTGTACATATACATAATTATATTTTCGTTGATTGCTTGTCGAGTTATTAATTGATTTAGACAAAAAAAAAACACTAAAAACATGTTAAAAGTATACGCCTTCTTGACAATCATGTGTCAAAACTAATCAGTCATCGGAAAATTACAAACAATTTAAAACATTTAGCAAAAATGATTTATTTTTACTTTCATTGCTCATTTGTATTAAGGTCATTCACATAATTTTTAAGTCTAATATAAGATAGTTAAGACAAGCTGTAACTGCAAAATGTGTGCAATATTAGCGTGTAAATTATCCATATTCTTACGATTAATATGCATTAAAATAATTGATTAGGATTTATATAAAGTGTTTTTAATAGGTCCTTTTTGGAAACACTTTGTATAATATTTTATATAACCCATTAAATAATAATTTTCATTGATGAATACATTGAACATGTACCTACACCTTGTTAATAAAAATAAAATTGCTCCTTGTAACATTGTACTTGTATTGATTAGCGCGTTATTAGTGAACGAATATATTAATAACGATGCGAAACTTGTGAATAAATTGAAACAGTTAAACACGCTCACACCATTAATAATAAAAATAAACAAAGAGTAAATAGTGCTCACGGCTTCGTACGTATTGTGTCTTCTTTCGTTTTTGCCAGTGTGAGTGTGAATAATAAGAACACAAAAATAATAAATTTTACAAGAAGTGCGTAAGACTTTTAGTAATTAACTATTGATTGATTATTTCGATTATTTGCTTGAAATCGTGTGTAAGTACATGTAATGTGTATGCGTGTAACCAAAATATCATTAGTATTTGATGAATTGCGATTAATAATAAATAATCGATAATTAATCAAGTGAGTACTTTGTAATTTTTATCATACCACTTTATAGACGAATATTGTGAAACGTTGCAATGTGCGGTGAATGTGCGAATGTTATTTATTGTACATATTTATCTATTGTGTGTGTGTGTGCCTTTTAGCAAGCAAAACATAACAAAAATAAAGATAAAGTAAAACGTAAACAAACCATGCATTTATTCATATTTTGGGCATGCTACTGCCACCTTTGGAAACTTTTGGGTACTACTTTAATTTTTTACTTTTTTATTTCATGATAATTCGTTTTCGAGTTTTTTAAAGTACTTCTATTACAGACGCTAACTACGTATTAACTTTTTGGTTCTTTAGGGAGTAAAAACGACTAGATTACGGAAGATTGGAACTGTTATTAATGCAAATCATCTCATCAACGACTTAACTCGCTAGTCATTCGATAGTCATTGCTTTCTCCACCCACCCGTTCGGAGTTTGCTCCTGATTCCAGCTTTCCACTTTAATCGTCGTAAAAATTGATGACGTGTGAAGAAAGCCTAAGGAGGCGGTGAAGGACGACGCCAATTTTTTCTCCCGCTTCAGTACGGTTTTATTTTTCAAATCTAGTAGTAGAGTAGAAAAACTAAACCAAATAAAATATGCAAAAATTTGTGTTTTTTTTTAACGCTCGCTTTACTTCATTCGGTTTAAGCTGCGACTAGAGACGTCTAGTCCTCTTCCCGTCGGCGTGAGCGTTTGCGTTGACGGCCCCGACGTAACCTGAATGATAAAGGTCTGGTGACTGGCTGACTCTGGCCGGGCATCTATCCGATCGCTCGGGATTCACAATTCCGAAGACAATATCGCGCACGACTGGCTATGAAATGCTGGCGGCAGGTCGAGCGTGCACACGTTACTCGCATTGCGCGCCTGGGAGGGAAGAGGGTTGTCTGCATTGATATGCAAGGGCGGTGGTGACGGTGGGCGCGCAGAAAGGTGACGAAGGACGCATTTCTAATGGCGGAGTTAGGTGACAACCTGACGCTGTTAGGACCATCCGAATATATGATAGATAGCTGATATTAAAATAGAAGTTATTTAAAATTAAACAAATGATAATTTTGTTATACTTTTGAAATCTGTGCGCATCTGTAGGTAACTAACTTGTTGGATGTGTTAATGTCGATATTGCAAACGCATCATCCTATGATGAACGCACGCTTATCAACGTGGGTGTCGACCGTTTCACGCCGTTACGCCACAAGGATTTCTATGTGGAAGGATGAGAACTGAAACCATCGAACACGGGGTGTTTGCCTGGGTGTATATGTGTGTGAGTTAGGGGTCGTTTGACCGTTTGAGGTGGCGTTTGAATGGTCATTGGTCATTTGTATGCAGATTAGACCCGACAGCCAAATGTTAGAAATGAAACATCTAAATATTGACTTTAAAAGTTCAAATGTGCAAGGATTTATCAAATTTTAATTACCCTGAAAGATAACAGTGTCATAAAACATGTACGTCATAAAATTCTCAATTAAATTAAAATATTTCCTGCTTACAAAGTTTTGGCCGCACAAAAGAAGAACATTACACCGATTACACAATGGAAGGACGCATTTATATTCATGCTATGATTAAAATTACGTTTTCGCAGTTTGATTTACTACTGGACTTAAACCATCTGCCTTCTTCGTTATTTCCTCTTCCTCGTATTCTTACACAATTCTTATGTTGGCGGCTGGTGTGGTGGCGCATTCATTCCTTTTATATGCGAGTAATATGCATACCGCATTCATGTTAATTTTGATATATTTCCGATACGTTTCGTTTCCGAGCGGGACCTGCGAAGAAAAGGGTCGCGCGCAAACAAAAGCTGTGCCGTCAAAGGAAAGCCACATGCAAACTACTATCGCTGCTAAACGATTGCGAGAGTCAGAGTTGGAGTCGAGGAGGGTTAATAATCGCTCTCTTCCGGCGCGGAAAAATCATGAATATGTTTCATTTTTATTGGCCATTTATATCCAAATTTATACATCAGGAATTAGATTGCACTCAGGGACTCAACCACCGAGCAAAATGCAAACGCAAAAATGCCAATGGGTATTCATTTGCAGAGACGAATAGGGGAGTGAAAAACAAGATACAAAAAAAATGCGGAGTTCAAAGGGCATGCGACAATAGGAGACAGTTAAGGACGAGAAGGAGAACACAAGTCGAAAAGCGATTTGCAAGAGCTTAACGTAGGCGTAGAGACTTAGGATCTTTGAAAACACGAGTGCCAGAAGGTGTACATTAGATTTTTCTTCTTACATTGAGTTTTTATAATGGTCATATTTACACAGGGTGTTAAAATAAAATCTTCAGAAATTAAAATTACCATAAAAAACATTTTCAATATAGCAAAAAAATAATACAAATTAAATAGTAGGTGTTTTGATATGCACAATCAAAACTTTTTTTAAATATTTAGTGTATGTGCATTTACAATTGAATGTATTTGAAACATCCTTTTCACTTCCCTTTCTTTCACGGTTTTCGTTTCGTTTCCGATATGAATTTCACTGCTATAATATTTGCATTTTAATAGTTTTCTTCGAATGGGAGCACGTTTCGTCGGGGCGTTTTTGCCGAAAGCTAAAAGCAAGCTTCGCAAACGAAAAGCCAATTTGGATCCCGCTTTGTCAGGGTCACAAGCTCCTCGGTCTCTTGCGCACACTTGTTTTACGTTTCACGAATCGAACTGTAACCACCGCCATTAGTATTCAAAATTTTGAACGTTTAAAATACTATGGGGATGATATTACAACGTGACTGTGAATGTCAAATGTTGATAATCCTATATTCAAATATGGGTATATGATAAGTTGCATTTTAAATATGTTAGGTTACAAAAATATCGTTGGTATTTTTAACCAATTTTTTTTGGAATTTTGTGTAAATTCTTTCGTTTGATAAACAACAAACAAACAACAGTTTTTTTCATGCGTGAAACGCAAAGATATTTAATTTTCATTCATCCAACCACGCACATCGTTGTATTCTATATCAATAATCTTTTTATTGGAATTTCAATTTGAAAACATTTTCAGAAGTTTATTCGATCAATTCCGTTCCTTTCCTGCTTTCGTTCGAATACACACAGAATAACGAGCGACGAAAAGGAGCAGAAAACGAATTCATATTGTATCTTCGTCTCTGCATGACACAAACGCACTGCCACCGCTCTCGCTTTTGCGAGATGAAATATAAAAGCGACGCAACGAAAAGTTTTGCGATTCCAAAATTCGAACGGGAACATTTCGCCTCAAACGTTATTTGTATTCGCATTATGAACACACACACACACACACATATAGTAAAAACGAGCGAATAAAAGTATAAAGACAAGAGGGGAATGGATCGGAATGGAATGGATATCGAAAAATTCAACTTTCAGGAAGCCCGACTTTCCAGCTTCTTCCAACTTCTAAACGAGGATTCAATGGCGAGACGGCACATCAAATATTAAAAGATTAGCCGGTTGAAATTGTTTTGTATCCGCTCCACTCACGTTCTTCCCCCAGAACGCTGAAAACTTTTTCGATGTACTTTTTATGAATTTAATTAATGCCTTCATTATGTTTGGATTCTGTCAAACCTCAATTGAAAAATAGTAAAATAAAATAAGAATGAGCGAAAAAGGAAAATGAAAACACTTCATTCACAGCGACTAATTAGAATAAGTGTACCTATTGTATTATGAGTATGGTAATGAAAAGTAAATTATCAAATATTCATAAGTCAATTTTGCTCGTTTGCCCCGGTGTGCACCAACACTAGCGCTAAATTTTATGTATTTTCTGTGGCTTTATTATCGCAGTTGTTGATGGTTTTGCGCCTTTGTATTTGCCGTCACGAGGGTAGCGCCTGAACAGGGTTGAATTGGATTGGCGTCGCGATGCGAAATGTAGGACATTAGTTACGCATAAAGTTACACATTTATACGCTAACGCTCACATACCAATTCTCAGCCCACACAAACATACGCACACCAGCTTGGATATTACGTAAAACGCAAAACTGTGGGATGCTAGTTAACATTATGGTAAATAAACTTTCCTCGCTGATATTCAAATGCGAATGCTAATAAAACATCGGCGCGCAAGATACACTATTGTTGAACGCCAAGCTGAATGCATCGCTCATGCGGAGTGAATTATTCAAATTTCGCGCAAGCCGATGTTTAATAATAATAATAATGGATGTTTTCATGACACATTAAAGCAATGCTCATAAAACCACAAGGCTCGTATGCTGAAATTTTGTTTTATCTCTAAACATACAGCGTAATAGTAAAGTGGAAACACTTGGTATAAGATACATGCTTGAATGACAAATATCTCAATGAGACAAATTAACATTTCAGTTGTATGATTCAATTAGGTGCACATTAATTTACATTCCTATTGTTTGTTGTTTTTAGTCACTTGTATTGTAATTAATGTGATGATTATTGGTTATTAATGTTAATTTGCATGATTATTCTCTAGTGTAATTAAGACAAATTGGTCAAATGTATTTTGCAATTATTGTTATAATTTTAATTGTTATACGTGGTTTATTTCGAAATGTCTGAGATCAAAGAACTGCCTCTTTTGAAATGGTTTTCCACTTTATCGTCACTCTGAGTCCAGAAATACATAAAATTCGCCATAATGTAAAACTGCATCCGAGTGGTGGTGGAGGCGTTGTTGGTGGATAAGCAAAGGCGGCGGTTTTCCTCCACGCTGCAGGAAAGAAAAATCAGTGACGCCTTTGAGAGCGTCATCAGCATGTCGTGTGCATGACGAACGGCGCGCTACACATAAGTAGCGTCGAGGTGTTAAAGGGTTATAAAAATCAAAGGAAATATTAAAGTCTGGCGGCTGGCGCCAAACAACCTCGTAATGCCTCACTATACTGAGGATAATACACATTCAGCACGTACTAGCATTGCTTCTGCAGTGTGCACTTCCCTTTGCAAAGGAGGTGCAACTTGTGATGATGACACTATAAACAACGCTATTTATTCATGTATGAATATATAATATATATATATACATAAAAATAAATACAGTCAATGTAAATATATGATTTATAATGTTGTAATTAAAAAATAATAGAGAACATGTAATTTGATGATGACATTTTGAGATGAGAAAAATTCGATTGTGCAAACAAATTAAACGCTT